ATTATCCGGTATTTCCTTTCCAGAGGCTAAAGGGGATGTTTTATATAGTTGTAGCTTTATCGTGCCTTCATGTTTGCAGAAGAACTGCAAAAAAACGTTTGAGGGTGACATTTTGATTTTCATACACAGGTGCGAATGTACGACCACAAAAGGCAAAGGCGACCTGTTGTTAACTTTGAGTGGGAAGAATCTCCGTTCACGTCCATCACATCTGTAGCTGATAAAAGGTTTGCTTTGGGTTTTCATTTTAGTGGAGTTATGTGGTTTAGTTCTGCTCAAAGATTGAGTGAGTTTAAGTCCTTGTCTAGAAGGAGAGTTAGACGTCTTTGTTGATGAAGTATCAAGTTTTACCACAATAGGCTTTACTGTTATCAAGACTGCTTTAGGTTTCTGCTATCAGTATGGTATACTGTTGGTGTTCTTATTGAAAATTTATTATTATTATTATTATTATTATTATTATTATTATTATTATTATTGTCAGTAAGTTTATTGCCTTTTGTTATATCTATAAATATGATTTTAAGATGTTATTTTTTGAAGAGTTATCCTTGTCTGCACAAGTATACCCTAAGGAAGCAATGTAGAAAAAAAGCTACGTATGATTATGTGTTTTTCTTTTCTTCCCGTTGTTGTCTTGTTTACAAGTTCTTGTATTTTGAATTCCAGCCAAGTGGTTGTTGGAACAGCTCATGGCAGGATGGGTTGCTTTGATCTGCGAATGAACAAGCCAGAACATCCTGTGCGAATATTCAAAAGCTTTGCAGGCGCAGTTCGAGATATTGTTGTTCACCCGCATCTGCCACTGGTCTTCTCAGTCGCCCTCGATCGATTCCTACGAGTGCACCATCTTGAGACCGGAAAACTCATACACAAGGTAGTATTACATTGGATGTATGCTAGATTATGGTCATGATTAATAACCTCTTATCATTTGCAACATTCGCCTCTTATCATTTGCAACATTCATCTTATACGCTGTACCTTCTCCAGGAATATTTGAAGTCGCGGTTAAATTGTGTGCTCGTACGGGATGACTTTGAGGAAGGCGACTTACTCCCGACGAGAGGAAAACCCAAGAGGAAATGGATGGAGAGAAAAATGGAGATGGAAGAGGAAATGGGTTACGATTCATCGGAGGAGTCCTGTGAAAAAGTTAGGAAGATTGAAGACGATGAAGTATGGTAGGCTTTTTGGTGTGGATGTGATGACAAATTTTCATAATAAATGATAGATTTTCTTGCAGAGTTTTTTCTTATACACATATTTCCATAATGTCATTGAGATATCTATGTAATAGCATTTTATATATTTGTTTATTTATATATTTTTAACTTTTTTTTCCACCTTACATACAGCAATTATAGAGCTTTTTAGAGACAGAGAGTATTTTAGCAACTTTATTTTCTGGCAGATTATATTAAAATCTAAGGTGAAAATGTGTATTTTTTCTGGTAATTCGGAATCGGCACTTATGCTCAAAAAGACAATAAGGATAATTCACTGAAACGTCACCTGTTAACCCCATACATGCTACTGGAGTTGGTATGTATGAACATGTGATGACTACTGTGATTTTAGTTTATTCATTGTCTTAACACGCAGATGACTCCACTGGTACTTAGTCACAAAGCAACCAGTTGTAAGTCCTACCTGTCTCAGCATTTATCCTTTTCTTTGATTTTGAGAAATGATTTTACTTTATATTTTATTCTCAGTAGTAATATTTTTAACACAGTAATTATTGTGTCAATATTAATAATAAAGACAGTAGAAAAAAGAATCCAGAAAGCTCATGGAAGCTGAAATTGTAGAGCTAATTGACTCCTTGGTGGCTGGGGCCTTGTGTTAACACATTTCACAGAACAGAACTACAGTGGACATTGCATGGCCTTGGGTTAATGATGCCTTGACTAATGAGGGCTTCCTCTGTCATTCACTGACTTCTCTTGAATATGTTAAAGTAATTAGGTCAAGTATTGGCAAGATGGAGAAACCAAAGTAGCAATCAGGGGTAAATCCAGAGACTAGGAATATTGGTGGGGGGGGGGGGGGGTTATGGGCTTCAGTTATTGGCTATCAATGTCTGGTACATTATCAGGTAGACAGTACATGTTAGCAATGTATTTTTACCCTTTGAAGATGGCTAAAACTTTTGGTAAAGTCATGTGTATATGAGAAGTCATTAGTGTTTGAGATGTTGCGACATGATGAGGCATCAACTTGTTACTGATTTATTCGCCATGAAATGAAAACATGTCAAATGTCAGCAGTTGATTAATACAGAACACTGTAGAGAATGGTTTATAACCTTAGACTTGTTAATGATTCCAGGTTGGAAAAGCATGTACATTATTACACTTTGATATTAATTCTATATTGTCTGGAATTTAAAAATGAGGACTCCAAAATGAGTTGACTTTTCATAAGGTAGTCTTATATAGGCCCATATTGAATGTCAGATCATTGTTCATTGTGACAAATGTAAAAAGGCATGAATGAGAATGAATATTTTCAGTGCAAGAAATATGAATGACTGGTTTTGATTATATCTGTCAGGAATACATCTATTTTTGAAGATAGTTGAAACTGGTCAAATACATCTCTTACACTAAAAATATTCATTCTTATTCATATCTTATTTATGATATTTAATGTTGTTTATGGAATCAAAGCAGCAATAAACATGATTGATGTGAAAAATAACTGGTATGAAAAATTTAATGTATTGCTTTTGAATACACCATATCTGTGAAGTGAATATAACTGGTTCAGGCATTTTTAAGCATTTGTCCATTTATCTACATACCATTATGCATGATTTTTTTTGAAAAGTTTTTGCTTGTTTCCCTTTCCTTGCATCTTGACCATGATTAAAACATTGACTTACTGCACATATAGTCTTATATGTGCAATAATCTATGTATAACTATTCCAGTAGTCGGTTCATTGTTTCCTCTATGTTCTGGATACCATACAGTGCAGGTGAAGTGAGATGCTTTGTGCATAAAACAAATGGTCTGTGAATTGTCCTTAAATTGTGCATAAACTTGAAGGGATATTTGTTACTATATACTCTATTTTCAGTTGTGCCATGAATATAGATATTTTATATGTTTTAAGGGGCCAAACTTATTATTAATACCAAACTTCAGTTTGGTATTAATAATAAAACTTCTTTGGAAATTCCAGTAGATATTTGGCATATCAGTGTAAATTTTGTTTTCATTGTTATGCTGTTAGTGTCTCTGGTTGTAGCCTTGAGCAGCACCAGCATAGGCTGCCATCATAACGAAGAGAGAGAGATGGGCTAGGCAGTCATCTAGGGTCAGTTGGTAGATACACGTTGCCTTAATTATCAGGTAGTGCCATACCTGTCGTGTCACTCAAGTGTGTCAAAAAGAAATCTAATATATTTTCAAATGGAATTCCACCAATATTGAAAGTTTGTTGGTGAAATGAGCACTTTGGGAGTAAATTTGGCACAAACTAAAACTTTCAAATGATTTGAGGACACAAGATGAAAAGTGCAACCAGACCTCATATGAGCAAAGTGTACTAAATGCCTCAGGGAATGAGCTGAAGTTAAGAGTAACACAGTGTTCCTCAAGACCCCTCAGATCATGAGAGCGTGTTACAAAAACTGGTTAAAACTCATAACACACTGTGGTGGATTTTTTCCCTCAATGTATTCACTTTCTAAATGTTGTGTCTGAATGTTCTCAGATTTAGTTTTTAAGTTTTAAGCACATTTTGGCATAATTAAGTTTTCTTGTTTAAATCAAAACCAAAATGTGCAGAAAACAGGGAGGAGGGAGTGTACTGTCAGCCAATTAACTCAATGCAGTATTTAAAACAAAGCCATGAAGCATGCCTGAATTTAAAATGTCAAATTATTATTATATAGTAAATATATATATATCTATGTGTGCATGTATCAATATATATTTTTTCCTTTTTTCTTCTTCCTTTTTATTTTTCTTTCCTTTCATTTCTTTTTTCCACGTAAAATGAACATACCAGTTATTGAGCAAGAAGCTGCTGGCTTTTCCCAGGCAAAGATACTGAAGCAGCCAGAGAAGTGGGCACAAACTAGTACCAAAAAGATTGCATTTCTCACTCACTGTCCACTTCTTGGAAGAAAATGGTTATTGTTGTGCCTTTCAAAATGACACTATATTTTTCTGCATAATCTGGTGTAACATGAAAGTACAAATTCAGAAAAAACACATTTAACAAAATGTAATTTAGTAGTTACTAAGCTATTAGTAAGCTAACCCTTTAATGGTCATAAAAAAAAATGGTGAACAATTTCTGTTTATAATGTTTATGGATTTTCATGTGGACACACTAAAAGATCAGCACCTGTCTTTAGTGTGGACTCCCCCCCCCCCTCCCCCAATGTGACTCATCTCATTTCTAATTTAACCTTTACTTTTTTTTTTCTTAAGATAACATGCATATGAATGGGAGGCATCTTATATCAAGTATCAACAGTAATATTTCTTTTCAGTTTCTTGCTTTCACCAAACTTAAATCAAAGAAAAAAATTTACACAGATACATCTGTTTGAGACAAGTAAGTAAGTAATAATGACAAGAAAATAAATGTGCTATACATCAAAGGTCATATAGCACTTGTTTGAGACAAGGGAAGGACACGACCAACTCAACATTTAATTTTATTGCATATGTAAAAATCTGGTTAATTCCTTACAAAACACATCTCCAGACCGTGATTCTGCTATCATCATATAGCACTCGCAGCCCAACCAAATTAATATTTGATAACGTATTGCTAACATAACTACTTCCTTAAGGTACCTACTCATGCAAAAGAGTTTAATGACTTGACTTGGGACTAGAGGCTTTACAAGATACTAAAGCAATACTCACTATTAACAAAACTAATCTCCTTTTGATGGTTTTATCCTGAATCCTTTTTTTTTTTATTCTTTTTTACTTCTGGAACCAATTATCATTTATTTTTGCAATTTTCAACTGAAAAAAATAATTTCTTTTTAAGTTATAAAATAAATAATAAAAATAATATACCGAGATGTTACCGTCTAAACAGCCAGGGAAAATAAGCAATAAGGAGTCTCAGTATGGGATAATAATAAATAGCATTCATAACAATAAACAAAATTCAAAATATTGCATTTCTTAAATAAAAGCAAAATGCAAAGCACACAATGACTTTTTAAAGGCAAACGTCTCACTCCCATGCAGTGCTATCAGCTGTTTCTGAAACTTTTTTTTTTTTTTTTTTTTTTACAAAGTCCATGTCCATACAAATAATAACAATAATAATAATAATAATAATAATAATAATAATAATAATAATAATAATAAAATAGCTAGAAATAAATAAAAACAGCCAACTTCTGACTATGGGTACAGGAGGAGAAGCAGCAGCAGCAGCCAAAAAAAAAAAAAAAAAAAATTAACCCTGTAATTATCAACTGTGATTATTAAATAAATTCATACTTGCATCACTTTCACAGTAACACATTCTCAAAATTGTTAATATGAGACTAAACATCCCAAATAAATCATGTAAGACTTCCCTGCAAGTTCTCATTATAGAACAAGAGATCAAGCAAGGTTTGTATAAATATAACTAATTGTATGATCAAGCAACAATACTACAAAATATATTATTACTTCAACTACAGGAATCACTGGCAAAACATTATTAGAAGATGCAAACCATTCTGAATGATGACAGTACAATGGACTGCAAATTTTACGACTCATTACATAATTAAAAGTGAAGCTGCCCAAGGGGTGCCCTCTAGAAACAGAAAGTCAAAATCTTATTCTTACGACTTGCATTTCCACCATAATATAAATTTTATCTAGCAACCTTTTTTGATTCTGAAGAGATACAGATGTGTATCAACAAAAGTATAAGAAACTAATTCTCTAAGTGACTACATATATTCAAAAGTTTTCCACTAACAGATGGTATAGGAATAATCTCAGTATCTAAAGCCAGGTATATTAGAGGGATAATACTGTACAAGAATCTATAGCCAAGGATATTATAGGAATGATAACCAATGTCCAAGACCACGGATGGCTCTCTAGCCCAAACCCCCCAAGTAATCAATTTATTCCATATTCACACAGAACAAAAATCATGGGTTCTTTGCACATTATATAGTACCTAATAGTTGTTGCTGTGAATGACATGCATTGAATCTTCAGTCTTGAAAAAACAAACTTAAACAAACCAATATTCATAAAAAGTCATCATAATAAAACAAAGAACAGACTTTTTAAAATTAACTTGTTAAAACCATACATATAAGTAAAACAACCAATTTTTTTTTTTTTTACAATTTTACTTGAATCTGAAGTCGTCATATAATAACAAATGTGTCTTGTTTCTGATTGTCTATTTTCCCTTTTTCTTTTCTGACAAAAAATCATCCCCATTTAGATTTTGTATGTACAAGATAGCCGTGACAAATTGTTTTCTTTCTGTCCCCTGAATTTACTCTGATGTGGATAAAAATGAAAATGACTTGAAAGTGACATTTACTGGATTTGTAAGGGAAGAAACAAAACAAAGATGAGCAAAATATAAGCTAGACCTCATCACAGGAACATTTTTTTCCAACTCATGGCCGGAAAGAACAATAATCATAACCTCAAATAATGAAAAAGGACAACATAACAAGCAGTCCGACATGATTACTTATAAAAAAAAAAAGAAAGAAAATGAGTGCAAAGCAAGGCAAACACAAGTTGCATCCAGCTGGCAGTCTGGGAAGCCTTTGAGTAACTCTACCAGCTGTCTATATCACGACAATCTTTCCTAGATGTTGGATTTTCCTTTTGGCCTTTACTGAAATCCTTGCAAATCTAGTTCATCACAGATGCTCCCCTTGTACCTGAAACTAATATTAACAGGGTCTACCCTATAAATACAAAATTTAGAAATATTTGGCTTTAAACAATGCACACATTCTGTACTAATATAAAAAATACAGACCATGTTCGTACAACTATACTTAAGTGCTGTCTCAACGGATATCATTTATTTACACAAACAAACTTCTTATCAACATACCAAGACAGAGAGACAACACACGAGCACACACTCATTTACAGACTGATTTGTAAACAAGATCAGCACTTATATACATAGTACCACAGTTACACTCGTTCACTCTTACAGTATAATAAATTGTTTAAGCCTTTATAAATCCAATAAATGTATTGCGATATGATGATAACATGTTGAATGATTATGAGTTTGGATGACCTTTTCCACTTCAAAAATTATTATTCCTCTTTCATAATACTTGGGAATGGTGGTGTAAGGAGGTCTCGTGGCTGATGAATGCTAGTGTTAAATCCAACGATTGGCATCTACTGTCAATCAACCAGTACTACAACCGCAACACAGATGGCCTCCATGGCACGAGACCTCAGTCGCCCGATGCCTGTTCCTCTGCCACTGCCATAGCATCGCACTCGCTATTTCCATTTCCTTCTTCTAGTATCTCCTCCATGGTGTCATCCTTCCCTATACTAGCCTCAGCCTCTGGAGAATCCTTCTTATCCTCCTCCTCATCTTCATCCTCATCTTCATCATCGTCATTTTGCATTAACTTCCGTGCAAGTTTGACAGCATAAAATTCATTGTAGTGCTTCTTACGTTTCATTTCAAATAATTTTCTCTTCTCTGTGAATAAAAGTAAAAAGAAATGTAATTACAAATAATCAGCAGAGAATCCTTTAGTAACTCACTTTAAAAAGGTACACACTATACATGTACATTCCCCAGTTACAGAAGGTAAACCCAGCAACTGAAAATCCACAAGACCAAATAAAAACCCAATCAAATATGTTATGCAAGTTAAAATGTCATAGGATCAGACAAGAAGTAAAATAACATGTAGAAATTGAGGGAACTTCAAGCTAATAGTATTTCATGAAGTATTTTCATGGAAAGAAGGCTTTCATTTATTAAATGAAAAAAAAAGGACATGATCCCACAGACATACAGAGCGTATGTAAGGGTATATGAGCATGTAGTTGCCTGTTTAGGTAGGTGATTATTGTCCTTTTAAAGTACAGTATGATGTACATTTACAAGTGATGTATTTTGTATGAAGTGTACCAATGCTCTCATTCAATCTTATATCTTAATCCTTTTTCCTGATCCCCTCCTCCCCACATTTCACATCAAGGACAATACCTCTCTCTTCTGGAGAAATTTCTTCTTCACTCTCCTCCTCTGGTTCGGGTTCAATCAAGGCCTTCGGAAGTTCTGAACCTCCAAGTTGAATTCTAGAACATGAGGAAAGGAAGTTTTAGAATTGATGCAATTGTGATGGACTCATCATACCTAGAAAATCCTTAGATTGGTCAATTTGGAGTATAAACAATGACTGCACATCACACAAATCATCAAAATATTAACACAAATGCTTCTCCACTTCGTGCCATTCTTTATACAATAAAATTACATGAAGGGAGTGTATTTTGTACCTGCCTCCACTTTACAATTACTTTTCTTAATATTTGTAGTGCAGGAAAATCAATAAATGATATTATCTGTTTATTTTGAGGTGTACTATCTCTTTCCTAAACATATCAACAAGAAACAAAAGGCTTTTCTGTATAGAAATGAGATTTATACAGACAGTTTATTTTCTATTATCCAGGTTTGAATAAAATTACAGTATATATATTTTGAAACAGAATTTTGCATCTAAAGGTAAATTCTTACTGCTATCGTCATTAAAATTTACTGCTGTTAATAATTAAGTGCATACTTATCCAGAAATAGGATATAAACAAATAAATAATTATATAAACAATAGCTATTAAAACACATCAAAGCAAAGCAAAGCTATGGAACTATCTTCAAACCCATCATGACCACCACAAGCGAATCAGATCCATGGAAACCTTCTACTGACTTGAGTAATGAGAGGTTTTACAAGATCCCTGTGAGCCCTTGGTGGCCGGGGCAATGAAACGCTAATACGAAGCCAAATGTACTCAAGTTATCATGAACTCTTGCATAGAATATTGCAGTAACGCATCAATATTAACGCATAAACAACCCATAATCCTGTTCATGGTTAAGTGTGGTTAAGTTCCATCCTCTTTGGCTACTGACCAAATTGAGTGAATTTCAACTGTTCTCAGCAAGAGTTCAAATCTTATTCAATGCCTCTGTGCATTGTTTCATCTTTAAAAATATATATAGAGAGAGAAAGAAAGAAAAATAATAAATAACAAAATAATGAATAAGTAAAAAACAAAAATAAAAGCAAACATGCACTTCATAACATAGGCAAGTGCCAGGCTTAGACAATTCCTGTGCCATATGAAGAGTGATATTATGAGTGCAACTTGGGTCCTCTCCCCGTGTCCTGTCGTCAAGTCAAAGAGCAGGACAAAATGCAGTAATCTGATGAGAGAGACTGCTAGCCGATTTATTTAGAGGAGAGAAAATACCTGTGGACTTGGCCCTTCTGTATCCTGGCTCAGCCCTGTACAGGGATTATGCTTTGGTCTTGTGAATCTCACAAACAGTAATTCAATGAGTTTTATCTTGAATGTAAATTTCTCATTAAAAACTTTTACAAAGCTTTTTCTTACATTAGCATACCTGCAGGATTCATGTTGAACAAATTATGAATAAAACAACAAAAGGAAGAACAAGAAAACACACAAATATGCCCATATTCATGTTTCCTTGTTCTTCCCTTCATTGTTTTATCTAAAATTTGCTAACCTAAAAAAAAAGGAAGTTACCCTACTAAATATTCAACATTATTTAAGCATCTATCTGTTTAGTCTGGTCACATAAATGAAAAGAAAAGAAAAAAAAAAAAAATCTTATTTTGTTGCATCTAAATCTTAAAACCAGAGCCCTCTTCTTCTAAACTTTCAAGCAAAATCTTCAAAATAGACCTGTCCCCATCACCATTCCTTTCGCATTAGGAATAAGCCAAAATCAGCCCAAAAACAAAACTCTCTATCGGACAACACAGTAGGAACAGAATCTGTAATAAATTTGAGAACAAACCCAAGAGTCGTCCTGCACCATTTTCCACTCAACAGCCAAGGCACTCACTTCTTGGCCAGGAGATCGGCATCCAGGCCATCGTGCTCGTCCCCAGAGTCCCCTTCCTCGTAGTGTGCAAAGGGGGTCTTGGGCTCCTCGATCTTCATGTGTCCGTAATCCTTGTCTTTGGGATGAAGCGTCGCCAGGATGTTCATTTCGTCCCATTTTGTTTCTTTCCTATGAGGGTCAAAGCCGGGAAGAAAAAACATTAATAAGACTATCAAGAATTTTCCAAAGATGACATGGAAGCATTAAGCCCAAAGAACAAATGAAAATACTCTTGCCATAGCATTTACTCTTCTCTCTCTGATCACTATGCCACTCTGTAGATGCTTTACAATTACCTTCACTGATAAAAATAACCAATTCTTCTTCTGAATGAGCTGGTAGTCTCATCAGGCTTTCTTTAATTTTGCAAATGGATTCCATAAACAAAGCATTTATAACCATCTTTGAAAATAAGCTAATCTAAAAAGCTTCCCCAGTAAAATAAAATTACTTCCTAATATAGGGAAAGACTATACTATTGTAAAAGGTGATATTTCACCATCGTCCACATATGAAATATACTATCAACTATATAGCACAAATTAGGAATGCAAGATGCTACAGACTATGCATTCATAAAATGACTTTAAAAATGGCAATTCATGGATACATAAAATCGAAAATAAGATACAGATATACTATACACTTCTTCCTAATGTTTACATCATTTTCATTCAAAGACAATTTTCTGCATGTTTAGGGCTTCCATAACATGCATTATGTTAATCTGTTGAAGAAAATTCTTAAGGCAGATAACATTACAACTCACTATAATCATACACTTTATATGCATTTTACTTTTGTATAACAGCAATAAAAGATGTAAATAAATGAAATTACATGTTCATACATAATGGAGTCCAAAAAGTGCTCTCTATATACACCCTGCACCCTCCCAAAACCTAGCTTGTTGTCGTCGTGGGAGGGCTTAGGAGACGGGGACTGAGACCCAATGTACAGGATCACCCCTACCTTGAGCCTCAGCCCTTGCCTCGCCTAATTTTGCTTGGTCCTTTCTTCTCTTCTTTCCTCTTCCGTATTTTCTTTACTCCCTTCTTCTATCCCATTCCTAAGGTGTGAGAGCCGTGCTGAAAGGATGAAAGGCTGGCTTTGTGTCAGTCATGAACAGCCTCCGGGAGCCATGGGCACGGTATTCCCTTGGTTAATTACTTAGCCCTTACCCCTTATGGAGACCCTGAGGGGTAGACTGTTTCTTTTCCCCAATTTATTTACGCTCACCATGGCTAATAATGAAGATTCCTTACCCTTAATAGAGGCATTAAGGCTTGCCCCTTCATCAAATAGCCTATCTGAATTTGATTTTGATGGTTTTCCGATCCCTGCCCCTCCTTTGATCACGGCTCCAACCACTGATGCTAATACCCCCTCTTCAATGCTTACGAGCAACTCTAACCATTCTGAAACACCCATTCAGGTTATTACTCAACCCCTGGGAAATACCTTTTCCTCATCCCCAATATCTTCAATGTCAACCCCCTCTTCCCTTGTTACTACTCTTCATCCTTATTGTCCTCCCCTTCGCAGAACTACTCCACTCCACCTCAACCCCATCTTCCTCTCGCCCTCGTCCTTCTACTACCTCTACCTCTGCAAATCTTCTGGGTACTCTCTTTGGCCCAGCCAAGTGGGATCGATTCTTTGTGATGCCCCCTACAGCCCCCTATTCTGAGAATACCCTTCTCTGTGTGCCCAACTTGGTCATGACCGTTGAAATTGCCCTGCTCAGTCACATACATGTGCCAATTGTGGAGACTCCCATAATGTGTTTTATAGGAGCTGCCCTGCCTATAAGTTTGAATGTGAGGTAGCAGTCCTCAGATTTAAACTAGGCCTCACTCTACATGAGGCCAGACAGGAAGCATGACAACGAGGTTTTTCTCTCTCAACTTATTCCAAAACAGTCTTATTTCAAAAACAACTTATTCCATTATCATTAAACAACTTATTCCAAAACAGATGGTGGGGGAGTTCTGCTCCCCCACCATCTTCACAAGATATTTCTGCATCTACCTAGGTATCTTTTCCTTATGCCCAAAAGCTACGACCTATGTCTACTCACCCTATCCACCAGTCAAATCCATTTTCCATCCTAAATCCAGTTACTCCTATCTCTACCACTTCTCGGATACCTACCCCTTCTCCTCACTTTAGTTGTCGTAACAGGCAACCTAAACGTTCCACTCCACACTCGCCCACTACATTCTCTCCTACACCTTCCTCTTCATCTGTTCCTCAGATATCCATCTCCTCTTCTCCTTATAAGAGAACCTTTGTTTCTCAGTCCTCTATACCAAATTGCCCTCCAAAAACCCTTGAAGACATCCAAAGTTTTCTAAAGATGACCCAAGGAAACACTACGCTCCCTCATCCACCCCCCAATCCCTCTCTTCCTACTCCTGCTACATTTAAAGTATTTGCAGATATTCATCCTCCTCCTTCCCAAGCTCCCTCCACCCCCCTTCCTCCTACACCCTCTCAACATACCCCGCCCTCTCTATCACTTCCACTTGAATACTCTCACGAATCCCCTTTATCACAACAGTGTCCTTCACTAGATCCCTCCTCTCCAGACATTTTTCCTGATGCTTCACCACCTTCCCCAGTCTCTCTTTCTAAACCCATGGATTCTCCTCCTCCTAGTTCTCCAACAGCCACCTCTGTTTTCCTTCATCAGTGACCCTACTCCTTCCTCAGTCACAGATACACTGCAATTCACTCACTTGCTCTGCCCACTTATGTTGCCCCAACCCCTTCCCAAGATGCCTCATCCTCTCAACCACCCAAACCAGTCATACCACCCATACTGAACCACCCCCCAAAACCCCATCCTTCCCTACTATCCCTCTCACTCCCTTCTGGATATACAGGTGAAACTCTTTTATCACAATATCCTTCCCCATACCCCACTGTTCCTATCGAACCCCCAGACACTACTCCTTCACCTATTCCTGATCCTTTGTCTCAACCCCCAGATACCTAATCCCCTATTACTAACATAACTATATATAACATTATCACCTATTATCCCTATTCCTTCCCCAGTCACAGATACAATACAATTCATTTAATTGATCTACCTCCTTAACCTTTCCCATTTATTAATCACTGCTCTACTTCATTTACTTTCCTCCTTTCCCCTTTTCATTACCATACTTTCCTGTTACACCCTCTGATCTTTGATATCTAACACCCTCCCCTCTCCCCGGATTCTTCTCTTACTCTTCAACAACTATCTCTACTCTTCCTTGAACATTTTTCCTATACCTTCTCCAGTGACAGATACACTATAATTCACTCAATCGCCCTCCCCTCCCCTTTGTACTAACTTCTGCTCTAGCTCACTTACTCCCCTATCCCCCTTTTCACTACCTACTATCCTATAATGTTCTTAAACCTTTGACATCTAACACATTTTATCATAATCTTTAACTCTCCTTTGCCCTTTCTGATGCAATACTTTACCATAGTGCTATATGACCTCTGATGTCTAGCACATTTATTTTCAAACATTAAACATTAAACATTAAACATTATACACCCTGCAAATATTGTTCAACTTACTCTCTGATTATAATAATACAAAACAAGTATGCTTTTAACCCAATGATGTCAAGAGTCTGTGTATAAACACACCATCAACTGTGCCTTTGTTTATCTATTCTATTTACACATAGATGGCTTCATAGGGGATTGTTGTGGTGTTGAGACAACGTGCACATGGGGGGCTTGGAAAGTATCTCTGTGCATGGGTTTGAATCTGGCTCAAGGTCAGGCATTTGGAAGGAAAATTTACCAAGAATAACTCTCTCTTACTGCAACATCCAACAGCTTTGAAAAGAAGGCACCATCTTAGCCCTTGCATACGAGTCTGTTACATAAAATTGGATCCCAAAAATAATGGTCTCACACTTAGTTAATCCCTCAGCTACCATGCCTCACCTGTCTACCCCATTCTTATAATTATTATTATTGACAATAAAGCAAGAGTAATAATTATATCAATAATACAGAGAAATAATGCAGAGGAAATCCTGCATGAGCTTGTTAACAAGCGCCTTCTTAAGGACATGCCAAGTCAATGACATGGCCTCCCCATCACCCGACACTCAGCAAAAATGCCCAGCTCCTCAGCAAATTTTTTTTTCCATAATGAGACGATCCCATTACCAGCTCCTCAAGATATTTTTTTTCCTAACAAGGCATGCACATCACCCAGATCCAATGGACTAAAAGAATTAGAAAAAAGAAAGAAAAAAAGGAATGGGGGAAATGAGTGAGGTCACTAGTGCCTACTAATTTACCTCTTTGGAGGCTGAGCATCTGTGGAGCCATCCGAGCAAAACGAAACTCACAAAAACTACAGTGGACAAAACATGACCCCATGGCCAATACATCAATAGAGACCGGCATATTTTAAAATCAGCAAAGTTACCAAAATGGAACTAAGGCATAAAACACTCATTTTTATTCCAGAAAATGTTATACCAAAACATGGTAAAATTCTAATAATTCATTTTCAGATTGTTTAATAAAAACTGCAGCCTTTTGACATATAATTTACAAAAGTAATACCTTATTTTTCTGCTAGTTTTGAGTCTTGCTAAGATGTAATTATGAATAAACTTCCTATTGTCACCTTCAGTCACCAATCACTATCAAGCAAGACATCATGGTATAAATACTAATACTACTAACAATAATGATCATTAATTAATAAAAATAAAAATCATTAATCATCAACAATAACACCCACTATAATCTAATAATAATCATCATTATTATTTTTACCTATTAACAAAAAGAATAATTACCATCTATAATAAAAATAATAATCACCATCTAAATAACAAAGATTATTATCATCATCATTAGTAGTAGTAGTAGTAGTAGTAGTAGTAGTAGTAAGTAGTAGTAGTAGTAGTAGTAGTAGTAGTAGTAGTAGTAGTAGTAGTAGTAGTAGTAGTAGTAGTAGTAGTAGTAGTAGTAGTAGTAGTAGTAGTAGTAGTAGTAGTATAAACATCTAACATTAATAAAAACAGGGGCAAGGAATACTCCTACTATTTCTAATAACAATGATCATTAATAGTTGAAGCACCAGTAGCAGCACT